AAACTTGTTTACACCTTTTCTATCCCAACATTCAAATTATCAAAAAATCTCAATTGAAAGAAAAAAAAATCCTTTTGGATTTGTCTCGTATTAAATTTGCTGTTCAAAGTTCCTAAATACACTTTCAAAAAGTGATGATTACACAGATAATATTTTTTTCCACATAGTATGGTGTTTCTTAAGAAAGAAGAAGAAAAAAAAAAAAAACAAAGGAGAAAAAGAAGAAGAAGAAAATGAAAGACGTAACAGGATAGTCGCGCCACTAACGCCGACTTTACTTTCACGCCGCCTACGATCAAAGCAATCGTTCAATTCGACAAAATCGTCTCGTTACTCGTCCAGAAAAATATCAAAAATCCCCGGCGAATCTTAGATCAATCTACGATCTCAACGTCGTTGGAAAAATTCGTTTGCGTCGCGATCGAATAACGTTCAAAAATATAAAGTTGTTACTTGTTTGTTTCTGTTATCAAGAGTGCACGTTCCATTATAGTGTATTAAGCGTTCGCCACAATAGACGTGAAAGTAATTACCCGAAATTATTGTCATCGATATTTGTTCTAGAATCGTTCGACTAATAACGCTGGATCAACAGATTGAAGTACGAAGCCATGATATTATTTATCTACTAGTATATGTATCATTCACTACACGGTTAAAAGACAATACAGTACGATCGTAGAAACGATTGTTTGCGTCTAGATAACTAGGGATTGCCCGGTAAACCAGTGACTTTTGTCCGATATTTGAATATCATCCCATCAGTTGATCGAATACTCGGAGAATGGTATGTCAATCGGAACCCGTTGTAATTTACCAAATAAATTTCAGAACGTATTGAACTCGTACAAGAGTCGCAACAGTTGCATTAAAGAAGAAAAGATGTAGACATTTCTGAAAGGAAGAATGAAAAATGAAAAGTTGATGCCAAGAGATTTAGAAAGTAGGAAATTGTGCGATAAATAATGAGTGTAACGTGGTAATTTTGAACGTCTTTCTTAAAGCGCTGCCAGTTAAATCAACCTCTGTTAATTGAAAAGAAGAAGAAGAAGAAGAAGAAGAAGAGAAGAAAGTTCATTTTTCAAAAGTGAAAGTTACTTTTTTAGTTCTTCTTCGTTTCAGACGTTCGTCGGAAGGCTACTTTGTTTTTTTTTTTTTCTCTTTTTTTTTCATATCGACTTTTGCTAACTAGGAAAATCTGGAGACGATGAAATATCGATCATCAGTACGACCATAGGCACGAAATAGTGCAACTAACAGCAGTTGTCGCTATTTTTATATTTACGTAATTATGCGTATTACGTACATATATACCTAGATAAACGTTAGAATTTGCATCGTGTACTTTGTTCGTTACCATCAGCAGCACCGGTTTTGCGTTCTTTCTCTCTGTTCTTTTTGTCGAGAATAATACGAAGCAATCAGAAAGCGAACGTCGCATCATACAGGGTGTATATATACACGTACATACACACTACGTGCGAGAGGGGGAGAGAGAGAGAGAGAGGTGGCACGCGCGTATACGATCTCTAGTAAAAACGTGTTACACACCTAGAAGAAGATAGGCACAATCGATGGCAACGATCTTGTGGATCTTGTCGTGTGTGGAAAATCTTGTCGTGTGTAGCGCGTGTTGCTTCGATCAACGTGCGACAGTCATTCAGTTTTTGTCTACGAATACGTAGCTCGTTTCTTGTTTCCTATTCGGCGTTTCTTCTTGAATCGTTCCTATCCAACTAAAATGCGTGAATTGATTTTCACTCGCGTGAATGTATATACGTAGGTACATCAAGTCATTGACAAGCTGAAATTGATCGATGACCGAAACGCGGAGAACATCGAAACAGTTAATAGAACGTCGCTCGCTTGTCCACGAACGAAGCTTAAACTTTTTCGTTTAGGGGAGATATCTACGAGTTATGATGAATTGAGGTAGAATTACACGTGATAAATTCGAGACGAGTGTCTGTCTACGGGAGATGCTGAGGAGAAGCGGCGAACGAAAAGTTTCCGTCGAATCAGTCAAAAGTTTCTGGAATTGGAATGCCAAGCTTTTCAGATACGTGTAGATGTATGCGTATCGTGAGACGTCAGAACCGTACGATGGGTGCTAGTCGCATGATCGTTTCGTGTCGTTACGAGATACGAGATTGTTACTGTTAATATACCTAACGATATTATCGATACAGGTTACACTTATCAACTGACCTCTATGCAACGACTAGAATTCCGATCAACTATGTTCGCTATCACGTTCGCCGTTTGGTATTGATACCGAACGACGAGAATTTCACTTTATATAGGAAACAACGAAACCGATCCAACGCGAAACTGTGCTACCGAAGATCGTCGTTTCGAACAAGCCTCGAAATGTACAAAGTCAACGGTAAATATCGAAAACGAACTTGCGGCAAAAGATGACGTCAATTGTCCGAGAGCTTTCGCGTTTCGAGTAGAAACACGCACTATAGAAATCTATCTATTTTCTATTGGCGCGCGCGCCCGCGCGAGAGAGAGGAGAGATACAAGGTCTAATGTTACAGGGTGGCCTTCTTCAAGTCCACATCGTTTTAAGTAAGGTAAACTGAGCTTCAGGAAGAGACAGACGACGAATCGTTTTGCAAATTCGCCGACTAGAGGCGAGCAAAATTTGAAGATTAAGATCGTTTAAACAATTTGGTTGCATCGTTGCGTGCAAAAAATACGTCGAATTTCGAACGTGTCGATATGAAAAACGGTGAACCAGTGTGCGTAAAGCGTGACATGGAAGCGGACAGTGGAGAGACCACGGGATAGAAGAGGCTGTCCGATTCCGAGATTAAGACAGCGAGAGTGAGGTCCGATCGTTTGCGAAAGCAAATCTTTCTTCGAGAGCCTTGTATCTCCGATAACTCGTCGACGATCGACGAAACACTCTCTCGTCCGCAGGGAAAATCTGGTTTCCTTGACGACCTGAGACGTGAAACCTGAAGAAGCCTGGAGACGACAGAGCTTCGTCTAGAGCCTAGAGAATCTAGTCTTCTAGTGGACACGATTGTTACAACGATTGTTGCTTATGATTGGCTAACTTGATTCTTCGTTCGTTAACAAGATGAAAAACTGAACGCTCACGATTTCCCCTTACAAAATATTTGTGCCGTTTTATACAAAAAAACTTGAGCTTACCCCCTTAACAACTGACCGAGCTCTATCATACGAGTATATATTCTAAAAGACCGCGGCAATAAAGTATGATACAGAGTTTGTACAAACGCGTCGCGTACGTGTGATTACAAATTATAACAACGGATAGGTTATTACAATGCTGCGAGGTTACGCGTACGCAATACGGGTACGTGGTAATTCGCGTAATTACACTGTAGGAACATCACGAGGATTTATTATACAGCAAAATCCTCATCGATCGGAGGCTATCGCTTCGTCGATATCGCACGCGAATCTGATACGCCCGGTTCGCCCTACGATCGCTCGTTGATTTCAACGTTACATCGAATACGATCGGACACGTCGGTCGATTTTGTTTCTCACTTTGTTTCTCGGATCGAGCGAAAAAAGTCGAGATTGACGCGTCGAGTACGCGTAAAGAGCACGTTGTTATCGTTATTGCTCGATTAGATACGTAGATACGTATCTCTCGAACGTTTTTGCACGACTTTGCGTCATCGACTTTGCACACTCGACCCGTTTCTCTCCATGAGATCCTACGATCGGTACAGTGGTACAACATTCTTTGTGCCAACTCTGTATAATACATACAGAATCGATCTTCGATATATTTATACGTACATGTATACTATATACTTGCGAGTACAAGAAATGCATGACTGGTCGACGTATGTATGTATGTACGTATGTATGTATGTATGTATGTATGTATGTATGTATGTATGTATGTATGTATGTTTAGTTCGCGTATAACTTATGGCTCTATGTACAAACGATTTTTGCGTTTTCGTCGGTCGCCTGCCGAGCGTAACGTTCCCAACGTAACGTTTACGATTGTTGAGTACATCCGTTGCTCGTTCATTCGAGAGCGTCGTCTTTTCAGTCAAGTCGTCGTTTCAGACACTTGGCTTCCGACTCTTTCGGCACGCGAGAAGAGAGCTCGTCTGGAAACGTCGCTCTGTCATCGATACATTTTTCCAAGATAGAATACAGGCGTAGACGCGTAGAAATTGATGGAAGATCACAGGAACTGAGCATCTGGCTGTTAAGCGGATCTAAATCAGATATTCACTGACAAACATTCAGCCGTGCCCGTGTCCTTGCGATTTCTCATGTCGGCTTTGATTTCGGTACGAGGAACGCTTGGAACGAACTTGCGTAAATTGTAATCGTAATCGTAATGCCTGATACTCGACTCGACTAAATGGAACAATTGGTTGGATCGTTCGACCGATGACAAACGTAGAAAAAAGCGTAACAAGCGTTCTTCAACGATCGACGATGGACGTTGTCGATCTCTTTCGGCCGAAATCTTTCGACGACTTTGAAAAATCGGGTTCCTGTCGTGTTTGCGTCCGAAACAGGACGAACAAACGTTTCGTCAAAGACGACTCTGCGCGAACGCGATTCATTTATGGCACCTTGAAAGGAAGCTTTGTTCTCTAACAGCGCGAATATATACGCAGTCTCTGCAAAGACGGCTTGGCTCGATTCGACTCGATTCGAACTACTTTCCACCGCGAGACATGTGCGCTTCTACGCATTTCTCGGAGAATGAAAACGCATACACACGTAATATACATACATACGGAGTTCAATCGAGTCGGTCCGTTCCAAGTTCGACGCAGCTTGAGCTACGAGATTTCGGATAGCGTGTGTCTTTGCCACAAAGTACGTCCCTGACCGCCCTGCTGCCGCCCTCAGGTCACCCTCAATCACCGTCTCCTGCCCCGTCAGCTGTTCAAGCTGTGCTCTTACTCTCTCGCCGTTACTTTCATCGCTCGCAAAGTCATCTAGCCTGCAGCGTCGGTCATCGAGAGAGAGAGAGAGAGAGAGAGAGAGAGAGAGAGAGAGAGAGAGAGAGAGAGAGAGAGAGAGAGAAGCTACATACACGTTACGCGATGCGGTATTCGAGAGGGCGGAAAGCAAAAGTCTTCGCTCGTGAAGACGAACAGTCTTCGTTTTTCGCTGTTTCCGTTTCGTGGAATTTGATTTTATCCTGGATTTTCTCTTTATCCCGTGTCTTTCTAAACCATCCTAAAAGTTTTTGTCTGTGAACTTGATTTCCTACGCGATCTGAAATTATACTTTAGAATTACGATCGGATTGTCAGATCGGTGATTGCTACAACTGTCAGTACATTTGTGGAGCCTACTTGGTAGAAAATATTTTACAGTTTTCCTCCTTCCTTTCCTCTCAGCTTTCTGGCGCTACGATTTGAAACAATTTGAAAATCCAAAGCATTTCAATCTCCACACACTTTGTCACGCGTGTGACAATTCAAACGAGACTGTCCGCCCGTTCGTCGCTGGAGCGTGAAGCATTACGCGTTACGTCTCGTGCAGCACGTTGCGTTAACGACAAAGAAGGTAACGCGCAAAGATAAAATTGGAAAATTGGAAAATTCGGTGTGAGGCGCGCGAGCGAATGTTCAGCAAAAGGCATTTGATCGAGTTTATTGTCGTTGCACCAACTTTTCTACATGGAAGAACGAGTTTCTTTCTTTTTTCAAATTTATTTATTTTGTACGTGGCATCGTCCGGATGTTTTCGAACAACGAAGAGGCAAAGGGGACGATTAAAGTCAGTGCAGCAGCAAGAGGGCTCAACGGTTCGTTAACGACGAAACGTGCTGCGCCGAAATTTTTGTTCCGCCGTCACTCGAATTACACGTGTATCGTTCGCGTCAAATTACGCAGGTGTATCAGCGAATATTCAAAGCAGCAGCCGCAAAATATACCTATCTAACGCGACCAAGATCTTTCACGCCTAAGCTGGCGCTACGTTGTTTTTCCCGATGAAGGGATTTTTCAAACGAAAGCAGCGTGAGAAGCGACATTTGTTGCCACGGGTGTCAATTGTCTTTCCAACTTTGTTTTCCGTACGTTCGTCGGATGTTTGTTAGTTTTTTTTTTTTTTTCTGATATGGCTGCGTTATTGCCACTGTCAATTGGTTGAATTTCATCGTGCGGTGTTGACACGACGTTTTCTCGTTCGCTTTGTTCATACACGGATCGCAGGATATTCAAAATCCACCGCACGATGAGGATTCCCCATAGAGAGAAAGAAAGAGAGAGTTGAAGAGACGCGCGAAAAGATTGTTCGTTCATTCTGCGTGTCGTCGAGATTCGACACTGCGCAGGTTCGACGGATCGAACGTACATACGCGTCAATTTGACGATCGTTCCATCTACGACGATTACACGAAAACTTTGGAAAGTAAATCCAAGTCTATAACCGTTGCTTTCTCTAGGAGATGCGTGTTCGGATTTTGATTCGTACATCGTTTTAAAATTGACTTGAATTTTAAAAAAGACGAACGCGAGTTAAGGTGAATTCGTGTTTGAACGATTCTTTGCACGGTTCGACACATGCGTTTCGGTTCGTTTTGTGCAAAAGCGTGCCTAGATTTCTCACGATTCTCACGATTCTCACGGTTCTTGGTTGGCTGTCATGCACTTTGCATGGCAATCACACGAGGCAACGCGAAATCGATTCTCGGATCGAGAGATCGTTTAATTTTCTATATTGAGCAACGCAGAAATTACTTGTGTGTGTAGTTGTGTGTTAGCCACGGCTAATCGCTGGCATAGATATGGCTCGAAGCAAATTACGATGAAGAAACGTACACGTCGATGATCGACGATCGAGATGTTCTATTTAGCGAGCAAACGCGTTTCCAAACTTTCGTCGTGCTTATCGTCTAGGATGATTGTTTGGTTAATCAGAGAACCATTTTCGATTCACCCTGTAACACCGGTACAGTCGCATTGAATCTTTTTCATTTGTTAGTGAAAATTTGTAAGCGAGCTAAATTGGTAGCTCGAGGAAATGACGAGGCGCGGATCGGAGAAGCGTTAGTTTCAAAACATTTCGCTGTTGCAATTTTCGCTTCAACTTTAAATCGACGTTCTTCGTTGTGGCTAATAGAACGTAATTCTTCCAACACATTTTGGAATTTGCAACAGAATTTACCAAATTCGGCAGACTCTCTCTCTCGAGAGTTTTTTTAATAAATAAATAAATAAATAAATAAAAAGTAAGTACGCACGTAGAGGTAAGTAGGTAATAGGCGAAATGAATTTGCAAGTAAGTAAAAAGTAAAGAGTCTCGACGAGCGAATGAACGGGGAGTAATTGGCAAGATTCGAGGGAGAAAAATGCGAACTGATTGCAGTCTGTCGGAGAGAAATGCAAAAAAGACGTGCTGGCGTGCTCGACGTGTACGTTTCGCTGGGGCAGGCGAGGGTTCTTCCTAGAAAAGTAGAAAAGAAACCCGAGTGCGGCGAGCGTCCCCCTTGGCCCGTCGGGCCATCCCAAACTGTCAGACGGACGGGTCGCTGCCGGGGGCGGAGCCCGTCTTACTGCCGTCGACACCAGCACCGCCACCGTCGCCGTCGGCGCCTGCACCATCTCCGCCCCTGTACGGCGAGCCGCCGGCCCCACGCGCCGACAGACCTCGGAAATCCAGGTTGTACTGAAAAACAGGCCCAAAACCACAGATTATCCATTCTGTACGTTTCCTTTCCCTCGCCGTCTTTCCACTCTTCATCATCATCATCATCATCATCATCATCTTCTTCTTTCTTCTTCTTCCAACCTTCTGAGGGAGGATTCCGATCGCGCGTCCGATTCGTCGCAAGCTTAACGCGTCTCGATCGATACGTCGGACCAAAAATATTTCTCTCTCTCTCTCTCTCTCTCTCTCTCTCTACTTCCTTTCCTTCGTTTGCTCATGAAATCGTCTAATGTCTTTCGTTCTGCGATCTTTCAGTCGAGTGAAGCTACCTATGTATGTACATACGTACATGGTGAAAAGAAACATTTCTCTAACTGTGTCTAACTATCACATAGATCAAGTCCACACCTTTGATTTGATGGAAATACGTGTAAAGAAATTGCTGCCGCAAAATTGGCCTTGTATTTCTACAGCTACATGTATTTCCATCGAATCGAAGGTGTAGAATCTATATATGATAGCCACGGACAAACTTTTCTTTCCACCACCCTGTAGTACCTGTGTACGTACAAGATGGGATTTTAGTCTATCGAAATTTTAAAGATATCCAAGGTTTCAAACAGTAGACAAAGGATAACTTGTGACATCTCTACTTTGCTGCATCTAGTACATATTTTCAGAAAAAGGTGTTCACATCGAATCGTTTTCTATTCACAATTGTACGTTTTTCGAACTTTCAAAATACTTTGGTCCAGCGTATCGATATCCTGTTTAAGTAGCAATCATTCAGAGTGTTTTAATCGCAAATGAATTGGTTAGCACTGTCAATGATTCACCGCGATCGTGAAGGATGAATCGTGTTATTTGGTGTTATCACGACAAAAAA